TCTAGAGAAGATCTCTCTTACAAAGTAGCCTTACCGTTTTAATAGTAACTATTTTTAAAATAAGGTTTACCTCTTACTGGTTCTTTCTATCTAGCCTTACCGACCTTATATAGGTAGCTTTAACTATTCGGACTCTAGATCCTATACTTAATTAGTTAAGGAGTTTTATAGACTCTATACCTCGAATAACTTTAACTAGGAATCTCTTTACTTGTACTACTAGTATTCTTCTTACTACTTTTACTCTTTTACTATAAGTACTCTTAGCTTATTTATTATCTCTTATAAATTCTATTTATTAGTTACTCTCGAATTATATGTATATATCTCCAGAGGGTAAGATTTATACTATAATAGTTAAATAGTTTTTATTTATAAAAAACCCGAAGTTAATAAATAGAATAATTTCTGTTACTAAGCGACCTTAGAGCCCCTTATTTATAAAGTAGCTATAGATTATTAGTGTATAGAATTATTAAGCTAAAACTATATGTTTCTTATTTCTTACTAGCTTTATATTTTATAGAACGTTTATCTAGGTTAAAGGAACTCCCTTTTAAAACTACTTATTTAATAACCTTCTACTACTTTTACTTGTTACTCTACTAGACTTTCTAAGTCTTTTATCTAGGAAGTTTTAAATATTCTCTTTTATTTATTTTTTTATTAATATGTTATTTCCTCCCTTCTTTTTTACTTAGTAGTTAAACACCTTTGCTATAGCCTTTATTATCACTTTAATATTCTTATTCTTAGTTACTAAGAACTAGATAGTATTAATTAGAGCCTTCTTAATAATATCTACGTTTGTTACTTCCTTTACCTCTTTTCTACTAGTCTCTCTTATAATTATACTTATAGTATTTAGTTTAGAGGTTCCTCTTAGGTTTATTATTTTTTTTTATAAGAAGCTTCGGTAATTAATAATAATAATACTATAGTTTAGTATTATTATAAACTTATATTCTTACTAGCGATCTACTACAGATTACCAGGATAGCTTTCTAGAAGTTTTTAGTAACTTTTAAAAATTCGTTTTTTCTTTAAATTAATAATTATTTTAGTATTAAATAGTTTTAAAACTATTTTATAATTATTTTATTTTAAAATAGTTTTTATTTATAACTATTTAAATATAAAATAGTTTTAAGAGTATTTTACTTATAAATAGTCTTAGATTTATTACTAACGTGCATGTATAGCGAACCGGCCAAAATTTTCTACACTCGCGATTGAAATTGTAAGAACTCTACCACAACGCCTCTAATTAAAAAACACTATTCAGAAATTTCTTCCTCAGATACTTCCTCTATAATATTACAGGTGCGCGTATTATGACCAGTCTCTCCGCAGTTGCCACAGCGCCGTGCACGTGATTCTTCCCTCGGCTTCCGACCACTACTTCTCTTTATTTCCTGCATTACCTGCTCACCAACGTCTCTATCATCCTGTAGGTCCTGCGCTTCCTGTTGACTAAGTGATCCTCCTTGCTGTAGGCGTGTTTTTTTAGCTCTACGGCGCTTACTTAGTACTTCATTTGCTTGTCGAAGTCTCTGGTTCTCAGCTTTCAATAGTACTATCTGGTGCATTACTTTTGATGCACCCTTCGTAAACTGGTCAATGGCCTCGTAAATAGGGGTTGGAGAGCTACTTTGGTGGCGTAAAATTCGATCTTTAATAAATGCAGTCTGTGATAAGGCTTCAGTAGGGTTATTTGGTGTCTGGGAAACCCAAGGCTGAGCGGAATACGGGGGGGAGTTTGGAGGCGTTGGCGTCTTTAGCTTAAGATCAAGTGTAGAAATTACACTTTCTGGGTCAAATGGAAGAAGCCCAGCCCCTCGGAACCCTCCTCGGATATTGCTTTCTGTCATTGCAATATTAAATGCGGCGTGGAAGGCAGGAAAGAAATCATCCTTAGTAATGTGGATGATCGGAGCCCGCATCATATCTTCAATTTGCTGACCATATGCCCTTTTCAAAGGGCTAAAACAGCCAACGTCGAGTGGCTGGAGTATATGAGAAGAATGAGCAGGCATACAAAGAGTGATAATGTTGTTTTCCTTGCAATATTCCTCAAATTCGTCGGAGTGGTGGCTTTCATGGCCGTCGAGGACTAATAGACGATAACCACCAATAGATTGGGACTTTGTATGCTTCTCAAAATGTCGAATCCAATCCATGCCTTTCTCATTTGTTGTCCAACCATTTTCAGTAATAGCAATCACCCAGTTAGGTGGAAATCCACTGTTTTGGTACCAAGAAGCGAGGTGATCTTTTGCGACAACAATCACAAACGGTGGAACACACCAGCCTTGGGCATTAACCCCCTGGATTACTGTAACCCATTCCCGATTACCAGGCTGTACTCTTTTTGCTTTTACACGTCCTTCTGAGCTTGTAATAACCATTGCAGTTGAGATAACGCCCATCATAAACCCAGTCTCGTCAAAGTTGTAGATATCTGCATCGTAGATTCCGTACTTCGCTATTGTGTTTCGTACAAGCTCAAACCAGCCACGAATGACTTCTGGATCTTCGCACTTAGCTCTCTGATAGTCGTATTTTCGTTGGAAGCGTGTCTGGAGTTCTGGGCGGCGCTTAACAAAGTTATAAGCCCAACGCGTCCCGACGCGTGGCGCGTCGCGTGCTTCAAGAAGTCGATTTGCTATATCTTCAACTACAGATATCCGCGGAGGAAATCCTTTTGTAGCTAGGTCGAGGATATGTTGAACAAGTACTGATTCCTCTAGCTCGGTCATTTTCCGTGAATTGGCTAAAATATCGCGTCGTGAAGGTATACCAGGCAAACATCGACCTAGCTTCCGGTGGTCTACAGAATAGGTCCTGGCAGCAGCTCGAGCACGTAAATTTGGGTCTTTTTGCATAGCTTGGATAGCTAAGACTAACCGGCTTTCGTCATTTTTCAGAGGCATCCTTCGTTGTAGAGAAATTTAATATTTCGTGGAGGTGTGGTGGGGTCGCCGGGTTTTGGCCGGTTCGCTTGTTTGGCCGGTTCGCTATACATGCACGTTATTTATATTTGAATAGTTTAATTTATAAATAGTCTAAGAATTATTCTTAAATAGTTACCGAATAATTATATAATAGTTCTCGGATACTCCTAGAATAGTTCCGGGATAGTCCCGGGATAATATAGAAATGTACCCTATAGAGTCGTATCTAGGGTACGAAGCTATAGCGTTCGGGCTATATTATATACTTAGTACTACTCTTATACGCTTAACCCTAACGCTATAAAAACATAAGTATTAAATTTAGTCGATTTAGCGAAATTTAATAGGCGTGTATTATAGATAATATAATATACCATATTAGTAGTAGAGGTAGAAAAGGGATATTACTACGTACGAGGTATATACTTATAATATCTAAGCGTAGTCCGGAAGTACCCTAGTACCTTACGTACCCTACTTACGTAATCCTATCTATACCTAGGAGTAGGATTTAGAACGGGTTTAGAATAGTCCTAGGATACTCTCGAAACGCTCTCGAGATATTTCTAGAACGCTTTTATATTTTAAAAACTATTTTTAACTAAGTTATAGAATACTTATTTATTCGGTAGATATACGCTAAAGTTATAGGAGATTCGTTCTTACCTTCCTCTTATCCCTATTTAATAGCTTAATAAAGATCGCGTATATACTCCTTGTTTATATAAGTATTAATTTTAGTATACTTATAGATAGTCTCGAGAGAGGGGGAGGAGCGTAGGTTTAATATAACTTCTAAAAATAAGGTCTTATATAGTGTAATGCGCGAAGGTTCATCAACTTAAGATATAGTTTACACGCGTTTTTATATATAAGAGATCCTTGCTCTACGGCGTACTTAGACCAACTATAAGCGATAGCGTAGTAGAAAGGCGTACTAACTATTAAGGTTATTTACTTATATTAAGTAGTTTTACCTTTAATTCTAGCGCTGTTATATAACTTTAACCCTAAGCTAGTTTACGATTTACGATTTACAAATTAGTATTTACTCTATTCGACCTTTTAGTGCATTTAGGATGCCGTGTCTCCCTTCCCCCTGTGACCGTGTGGAGTGAACCACTGCTTGCTGTGATGAATACGGAGTCAAACGGAAACTGCTATATAGAGCGAACAACTAAGTGAGGAAGGAAGAGAGTTCCAGAGGAACAGAAGCTTATATACAGGCTGCCAGCAGCACGCACGTGCCGTGCTGCTACACGTGATCTGCCCCCAATTCCTCCAACTCCGTAACAGT